AAATGCCAATTTACTGACAAAGAATTTCGGCGTCATTTTGTATTTTTCTCGACGAATCGACAAATCAAAGGATTTTCTTTTTTGATATTTCTATAGATAAGCTTAATTTATTTTAATGCTGGAGGAAATATAACACGGAGAGCATATTACGACAACAAATATTCGTCCTTTATTTAGCTTTGTAAATCTTTAACAATTTGGTTGTTTTTAACCAACTATCGTATGTTTTTTCGTTCAAGACAAAATGCAGCTTTGTTCGCCTCCTATCGCGGGGTCCCATCGGCAAAACAAAGAAGACTTTCATTCAATAATTTYATATCTTTCTACAGATAATTTATTTAAATATGGAATGAATATGAAACTAAGTAGTAATTTTATATCAAATATTCAACTGTTTATTAAGCTGTTCGAGCTGGTATGATTAAAAGAATGAGCTAATAAATGTTGTTGAGATATGTTGTCGTATAAAGACCTTGTCTTTCACTTCATAAAGCTAAAAAATATTCAAAAACATTTACAAACGCCAATTTACTGACAAAGAAATTAGTCATTTTGCATTTTGCATTGCATTTTGAATTATTTTCTATTTTGTCTCAGTTGTTTTTTCACAAGTTTTAACTGAATGTAAACTTTGTTTTTCGAAAACTYTTCGGTCGKTCGTGATTTCCGTATCTTTCTCGCGCATGAAAAAAGATGAAAAACAAATTGAATTTAAATCGAGTCTCAAAATCTAGTATTTACAGCTTAAGTTTTCAAGCTTATCGAAGAGTAGTTAAGGAATAAAAATATTTGAATGAAGAATTAGGATCAGAAAACTATTTTTTTAGCTGATGACACATTTGGTGACAGTTACGATCTCCAGCCAATTTCCTACCAAATCATTTATTTTCTTAATTTCATTGCGGTAAAAATAGGTTCTTATAAAAACCTAAACTCTTAATATGCATAACCTAACATTATCATGTAAGGCCCCGTCCACACGTATTTGGAAATTTTTGTATCCGCAAATTATTWTTTTGCGGATACGAAAATGTTTGCGTCCACACGCAGCGCATTCGAATCGTTTTCACCGTCCACACGTATCCGTTTTCGTAAAATTTGCGGATACGGACACAAAAATTTGCGGACACCTGTGAACGCAACCCGTATCCGCAAGAAATAATTTGCGGATACAAAAATTTTTGTGTGGACGGGGCCTTAAAGAAGTAAAAGTACTGAGCTTATGTTTTGCTCACCTTTTCTTAAGCAGTTTTCTAGTGTGTCTTTATATGCCGTGTTCATTTGTCCATAAAAAGTTGGAAGGAAAACTTCGAAATTTCGATTTCAATGAAAGACATCCAAGATAAATTTCACTAAACCTGATATTGCGTTGGATTGTCTGTAGTTATCTTTCGTTTTTTAAAGTAAAATTAAACAGGAATTTTGAAGAATTTTCCAAGAACAAAACTAGCCCCYGGGGGAGGTGGTGAGTTGTGTACAAAATTCCTTAGTGGGAGCTAGAGTATACTCGCGCAAAGAAAACAATGTAGAGCATTTCGATTCGATTTCACTACATGGCTTTTATTATGGGAGTCAGTATCTTCATTTCAAATGTAAAATAATTGACGATTTTTTCCCGATCTTAGTTTTACCTAGCCTGCATCACATCCGGAATTTTCTTCGTAAATACCGTATCTCCTATTTTTATCGATAATCTGTTACCTTTCTAGAGAATTAAACCGGCCGAACGCGAGCTAGTGTAAAATCGATCATATAGAGATTTCAGAAGTTTTAAAGTTTTGGGAGAGTTTTACACCTCTTTAATACGTCTGTAAAAAATTTTTTTTGGAAAAGTTACCAACGAAGGGCTCCAGCCGGTAACCTTAAGTCAGGGCATTTAGCGTGTTCGGTGGATGGACGTAAAAGCAATTGGCTGAATCCCGAACGTACTATATATGAATGTTGTAATGATATCAAAAGAAGAAAGTGAAAATATACGAGGCATGCGCAGAGATTGCTAAGGCTGCGTTCATAATGTATGGCAGGGGGGGGGGGGGGGAAAAATTTAAAATTTTTAAAAAAAATTCTAAAACCCCCCTAAAATCAATGCAAAAAATACGCTCCCTCCTAAGCAAGGCTTGTAGCTTCTTCCAAAAATTGTGCATCCCCCAATTTTCTGATAAAAATTTGCCCATCCCCCCTTTTTCCTTCCAAAATTTTCCCGATCCCCCCTGTTTGCCATACATTATCAACGCAGCCTTAGGTGATGTCTTTAACTCATAGAACGTGCGTCTACAATTGAATATATGAAACCCGATCTACGGTGTATTACATAGCAAATGTAATTCGCATATTGTACGATATAAAGTATATATATCCAACACAATAGACTAGAGAAATCATGCAACAAAAGCTGATCAAAACATGTACAAAAATAACTTGATAAAAAATATGAATAATTTGTAAGAAAACACACGATTAGAACCGATACAACCTGATTGAGAAATTATTAAAACAGGAACGCATTGATCACTAATCCAATCATCGCAGCTTGACCACGACGAAATTTATATATGTCATTACACCTTAATAATAATAAATAATAATAATATATGATATTTTATTAAAACCACATGTGCAGTAGTAAGGGTGGCCAGAAGTAAAAATAAATAAATGAATGAATTTATTTATATTTATTTAGAAATATTTTAAAATAATTTTGGTAGAATGCAAAAAATATAACCGTRAAACTTTAGTAATACTAAATAGTACAATTTCATGCTGATTCCATTGTTTTCTATTGTTTAGTTAGCACTATTTTGTACTATTTAGTAATTAGTGTTTCACGGATTGATTGCTTGCACTCTAATAAAGGCGCATACTAAATATTGTAGTACTAAGATCTAGGTCACGGAATGAATAAGATAATTTTTAGTGATCAACGATTAATATCCTGCACTCGACATTTATTTTTGCTTGGTACCATAGTACTTTCTTGGCCTTGAACACAAAACGTCTTGCTCGTAAATATCTTCGACTGATTCAGTATTTTACTTAATTTTACATAATTTCATAGACCTTATTCGTGGTGTGACAATGACAAACCTCTGGGGGAACGAAGAACTATTGTTTTGAAACTCGTCGGGATATCATCATTATTCCTTTCGTATCCTTTGGGATACTCATGAATTTTTCGAAGAGTAATGAATCCTCTGGAGGTTTGTCACGCTGAATATTGGGAAAACATTGTCACACCACGAATAAGATCTATTGGGTTTTCTGTGGGTTGTTTTCTCTTGGTCAAAGTCCACCTCATGACCAGAAAAAACCGGTTTGAAAAATAAAATGACGTCAGTCACGTGRTYAYTTCATATAAAAAGGCCGAGCTCCAGTAAATTCTAGCTTTTTAATGGCGGACGTCTTGTTAGAAACGTCTCAGTAACACGAAGTATTTTATTGGAAAAACTCGCTTTTTTTGGATTAAAATCCAGCCATTTCGCTAAAGGTGAGTTTCTTATGCCTATAACTTCAGCACATGTACAGAATTTTAGGATTTATTATCCTTTTTCTTCGTTTAAATATCCCGAATTATCGAAGGTCGTCGCTTCGTCTCTTGTCTTTTTGCGCCCCTTGCTCCTCAGATCAGTAGATTAAATTTCCGCATTCAAAAATATCTAAAAATATAGATTACAGACTGACTTAAAATATTGTATTATTATTCTTTTCATTTATTTACACCGTTATTTTGAAATTTTATATTTTTGACGTACAGTTTTCACAACAACAAAGATTGAAGTCGAATGTTGTTAAAAATTTTGGTTTTMGGTCAAAATTATCGAATTTTCTGAACTATCCTTCCATTGTTGAAGTTTTCGACATTGGCTTTCTTATGGCTTAAGCCCTTCATGAGATAAAAAGGGCGAAAATTTATTGTATTTAATTTGTGTTTATTTTAGTGAATGATCTACATTTTCAGGAGAGTTAAACAGTTCTACCGCCAAAAACAGTTTAGTTTTATGGAAAATGAACTTTATTTTAATTTCATTTATTGAATACTAGCTTATTCTTCTTGTGTATTTTTATAATTTTATTATTAGTATTAGTTCTGTTGTATACATGGTTTTTTGGTGGTGTGTAGAAGTAGGTCCCTCACCTCTGGAGTCGATCTATGAGTTAGCCATGCCCTGACTTAGATCAGACCAGAGGTTGTTTCAGGGTTCGATCTGTGAGTTAGCCATGCCCTGACTTAGATCAGCCCAGAGGTTGTTTCAGGGTTGAATCTGTGAGTTAGCCATGCCCTGACTTAGATCAGCCCAGAGGTTGTTTCAGGGTTCGATCTGTGAGTTAGCCATGCCCTGACTTAGATCAGCCCAGGGCTGGTTTCAGCGTTTGATAAAATTCGTACTTCGGTTAGGACAAATGACTTAGAATTTTGTTTAGAATTGTTGTTATGCATCCAGCAAGAGCTTAATAACATTGTTAATAACTCTATTGTATTAAGTAATCCTTCATTACAATACCAGGATTAGAGTGAAGTCACTAGACATGCGAACTAGGTACTACGGTAATACAACAACAACGACAACCTTTATTTACTCATAGGGAGAAGAATGATACATAAAAACAGTTAGTACTAGAAATCTATTTACAATCATGCAGGATATATATATATATATTTACAAAGAAAAAATAGATACTAGAATTAGTGTTTGAGCCTGAGGGTTAAATTAACCATAATTTTTCTAGTTAACCCCCAGCCATTTTATGTTGTTATTTAATACACTTAGCTTGTGTGTGTTTTTGACTAATAAACATTAACTTAAAATTTTTTAGTTCATGGGTTAAATGCCTCTAACGACACTCGTTTTACTATCATTGTTGTTGAAGTACGACCTGCAAAGCTTAAAGTTACATTTGCCACCTAGCATTCCATGGCTATCAACCAAAGAAATTACATAAAATCAACAATATCTTGAGGGAATTTGACTGAATTAATAGAGGATATTACATGGGCGCGGCTCGTGAGATATCAATTTAACACTCGAAGATAAAATTCGTATCTCC